GGCCCGGCCTCTGGAGCCGCTCGCGGCGCTCGTCCCGCGGGCCGGGCGGCGGGCTGGGGTCCCTTCGGGACGGTTTGGCCGGCACAGGGCCGAGTGCTGCGGCTGCGCTGCCGTCAGAGGCTCGCGGACGTCGGCGTCGTCCTGTCGGTACCGCTGACGCTCCGAGCTCCAGTTAACAATTTCCCCTTCCTCCTCCAGTGCGGTCTCTGCTCCATCCTGCCGCCGCCGTCACATCACCGGCTTCGTGCGTTTGACCCGGAGCGTGTGGCTGGGCGAGGGTTCGGTTCAGAGATACCGCAGACCCGAAGGCCGGATCCGGGCAGGGCACGCGGCTCCCTGCACAGGCGGTGCCGGCCTGCAGCGCTGGCTCCGTGTGGCCGGCGCAGGAAGCAGAGGCGGCGGGCCCGCCTGGTCTGGTGGCCGCAGGCCCGCACCGTCGTGCTCACGTTCAGTGTCTGCGTGGTGGTGGAAGAGACCGCGCAGCAGGGAGGGCAGAGCGGCTCTCCTGCCCTGAAGAGATCGGTGTCACTCACATTTTCTGCGGTCCCTGTGTCATTGTGGCCTTGAACATTTCTCCCACAAGCACTCGCACACTGCTTCCCACAGATCACTCTCAGGCAGTCATTTGCTCTCCACTCTCCTTGCCTGCAATTACATCCGTCCTAACGGACGTAGGCACAGACTGTAAAACTCTACTTTTTCCTCTAAATCACAACGAATACAACAAAATAAAGCAAAATAATTCAAACCTTAAATGTTTTCCCCACTAGACTTCTAAGCAGACATCTCAATTCTTGGGTTTAGAAAGATGCAGGAAAATCACAGTGCTGCATGCAGCAGGAGAAAAGCTCAGGTTCTACTGAGGGAGTTTCAGCACCGCTCTGGGGCGTTCCCCGGGTCCCACACAGCCCTGTCAGCACACGATGACTCAAAAGAAGATAGAACAATTAATGCTCATTTTTACTGTTTCAACCAATTATTTCTGGCTTGAGATAGTGCAGAAGTTACTCACAGTGCATAGAGCTCTGTGCCTCCCCCCACTGCTACCCAAACAGCAGCATCCTATTGACCCCAGTTGTGAATCACTAACTTGATTTTTTGTTAAATGTGCCACCATATCACACCAACTAGTAACAATAAAAGTCTTTGCAATAACGGGCGCAGGAAGAATCAGCATTGCTCTAAAGAGTGAGAAAGGGAGGAGTGGGAAGGCCAGTTTCATGGCACAAAGGATTGCAGGAGGGGAACTGGCGCAGCCCCACTGGTACTGCCTGCTGCTGCTCACATGCACAAGCATGCCTGCTCCCCAGCCAGCTGCTCCCCTCTTACTGGGAGCAGAGCAAAAGTGACTGGGGCATTTGCTAACTGCGCAAATAGCTTACACAGAGAAGTCAGTAGCCAAACTGCTGCCGTTCATGACGATATTTGGTAATTTACAGGCACCCGACTATGTTGCCAACAGTGGACAAAAGTCAGAAACAGAGTGGCATCTAGCTGCCCAACAGCACCGGAACAGCACTGGAGGATTGCAGCACTGGCTGCTACAGAGGCCTGTATTTAAATACAGTCTATAAAAAACTGCAAGAGTGCATACTTGGAAGAGGTGATGTTAGGACAGTGCTCATAGCCAAGCCACAAAGGAAAATTTATTTGCATTAAAAGGAGAGATTTTGGACACACATACAAAAAAAGCAGGAGCAGCAGTGGCTTAAGTCTCTGAAAGCCAGAGCTATTTACTTAATTAAAGAATCCTTCCACCATACAAAGTATTCTCATTATGGGAGACCAAAAAATCAAGCTGACCCTAGGGCACCGCAGCAGGAAAAAAAAACATACTGCAGCCTTGCAACAGCAGCTGGAGACCCTATCACCGTACTGCATCCACTGCACTTCTGCCAACACCCACACTGTTGTGTCAGACAGGTGGAAAAGTCACACATCCAATGGAGTTTGCTGCACAGCAGCCCAGGACATTTGCAAAGTAGTGCAGCAAACGCAGAGTGAGCTACAGGCGCACTCCCAAATCTCATGTAGCCCAGATGTACCACTATTTTTCTGGGTTACTAATTAATGAATCAAGATCTTTCCGCCCACCCGGAATTACTGTCTGCCATTCTAAGAGCACAGTCTTTGCGTAAATGTAGTGAATGAGATCCTTCTATCTAGGGGAAGTGTTGCTCTGCAATTTTTAGCTATCTAATCAGCCAAATTGCTAATCCATACCTGGATTTTTGATAGCTTATTAATTAGCTATAAATTCCTGCCTTGAGTTGCTTCCCCACTCCCCTAAAAACACAATTATACTGCTTGTAGATGATATGTTATATGATAACCATTTCATTCAAAAACATTTGCAGATATTAACTGCAGAGTAAGAAGAGCATTGGTCTTAGAAAGCCATAAAGCCCAGCAATTAAAAAATAATTAGAACTGAAACAATGAATCTTTTATTAGACCCAAGTTCAAAAAGATCAAACAGTAAATTCCAGTGTACTATTTCAGTCCAAGTGTGAATCACAACTTGTGGCATAAAAGGGACTAAAGCATTTTTTTTGAGCAGCCACACCCATTACAATTGGCAATGGGAGAAAGATTATGAGAAGGATGAAAAGGTTGCCCAAGGTGACTTGGCAGCTCCAAGCTTTTGTCTCAGTTTTTCTGTGGAAATCACTGCTTCCCGGGTCTCTACAGCTCCCTCTCATCATCTCAGCTACCTCACACCAAGCAGACTCCGCTCCTAATGAAGACGAAGGTGTTTTGGTGACACTGGCATGGCACAGGTCCTGCAGCTCAATGGGGTTGCAAGCCCCTTGCTCTGCCAGCATGCAGCTTATGGTGCTGCCATTCAGCACAGAAGTCCAGGTACAACTGAGTTTCACTGAAAAGTTGGGCTGCACCTTTCCATATTGAATGTAGGATTTTCTTTTCCTTTCTTTATTATTTTACACAAGCACATGTTTCTAATGTAAACTCTCTGAGTTCACTGACACCATTGTTTTCACACCAACATTATCAGCAGGTAACCACATGCAAGTCACCATCTTACTTTTTTTTTTTTTTTTTTTTTAACCAAAATTTGATATCAAAATCCCTTCTAAGTTACACTGTGCAACAGCCAAAGCTCCCACGGCACAGACAGCATGCCATTGCCTTGTGCACTCGCTGCCTAGAACTAAGTTTGCTGGAGCAAACTTTGTACCCATGTACAGCGTGATCAGGAAAAAAGCTACGAGAACATTAGAGGAGTGAGAAGAAAGGAAAAAAGCAAACCCTGAGGTCTTCAGCACTGTGTGAAACAATGGAAAAATTCAAAAGAACAGACTATTGACAAAGAGACCAATTCAAACCAAAGGCAGCAATGAACAAAGGGCAAATGAAGGTGGAAAAATAAAGTCACTCACAGAAAATGTTTAACTTTGAGGTTAGAAATAAATGGTCCTGTGACATACTTTGGAAATTCTGTGATTCTGCAGGAAAAAAAAAAAAGTCATTAAAAACTTAAAACTGAACGAGTCATTCTTCCCCCTTGGTAGATGATCAGCAATCTAGGACACTACAGTACAGCTTAACTGCATGCAAACTCCCCTCTTAATAGCTTGCACTTTATTTTAAGACAGGCAGTTCCATTGCCTTCCTTTTCTGTGCCTTTACCAACACTTGGCGCATGGACACAGCGGCTGCCTAAAGCAGAAGTTGATGAAACCATGCTAATACTGGGAGAAGAGGAAGCCATAGAACCATGACCCAACTCATAGCTGGGTCATCACTGAAAGCAGCCTCAGTGTGTGAGATTCACTTGGCAAAGCACGAGCTCCTCCAGATTTTGGGACCTTTTTTTAAATTCCTTGCTATCTAATTTTGCATAGAGGTTAGACATTACTACTTCATGCACAGAATAGTAAACACATAGAAAAATTTACCAAGGTAGGCAATGAAGGCAGGAGACCAAAGCATGTATTAGGTTTAAGTTTACTGGTACCAATGTGTTCATGCCTGGATGCTCCAAGTAGCCTGAGTTTCTTCTAACTTCCCAGCGCAGAACACGGGAGGTGTGCTGTAGCGATGTGTAGATCCTGTCAGTGGATGAATCTACAGCTGAAAAATACTCTCAGAAAGAGAAATAGGACTGTTGTGGTAATGCAAGGCATAGGATGAAATGGAAACAAGAAGCACCAAATGTTGGGGTCTATTTTCAGCTCTTCGAAGCAAGGGAATTCTGTGTGTGACAGTCCTCCCCCATTCAATCCTGCTGCTTCTGAGTGCACTCTGGTGCTGCTCTGATCCCCACATCCAAAGCCTCAAGCAAAGCACTTTAGAGAACATCAGCCTGCAGAAGTGGCACCAAGGTAATTGTCGGGGGCATCCCACTACTACTATCCTGGCACAACTCTGTACTGGTCCTTGCAGCCGCAGTACAGCTAGTGTGGTAAGGAAGCATATCACTGTAAAGATGTTACTTAAATGTCAACAATACCTTGGTCACTCCAAAGTGGAGAGATGCCCTGGAAATAGGGTGGGTAGTGTCAGCAAAACCACCTTTGTATTTGTATAGCTACCTGAAAATACGTCAGCACTTCAGCAGAAGTTACAAGGGCCCCATGATGGATTTACTTAGAACAACTATATTTCATTGCAGAGCTACTGCATTTCATTGTAGAACTATAAATGTTTTCATGCATCTACTCCTGTTAGTTCCTATAGAACAATAACCCTTCCTACTTGCAGCTTTTTGCAGCATTTTAATTGCTATTGCATTTCAGAGATGAAGTGTCTGCTGTATGACTGTAAATACAGCTGGTATTGCAGTGCTTGTCATTGACAGAGAAAAAAATATCCAACATTTGCTAACATGTTCACTAGCACCAGAATCCTCTTGAAATACATTTACAGGGGGCAAAGCTCAATGCAAATACATGTGCAGCAGCTGATACACTTCTTTCAGCCTGAGGCTATGCAACTTTTACATATCAAATAGCAACAAATGTTATCTACAGGCTCTAAGGGGAGGAGCAGTGAGCAAGCTGAGGCATTTCAAACACTTTCAGAGATTACTTTGCAATAAACTGCACATGGGCTGGCTCACAGCCAGGAGGAAATCTTTGTGAGCAATCAGGAGGAGATGTGGTGCTGCCACGAGACATTCGGGACTGGAAAAGCAGTGCTAACTGGTTGTGCTGAAGGAGTCTCAGACCACTGCTGCCACTCAGATGCAGCCTCTGCAGAGCCCTGCGTGGCTGGGATGTGGGCTTAAATCCAGCCTAGGTCACCTGTGTGACTGCGGTGCCTTTCAGAGCAGTGCAGTGAGGTGAAACCAGGTGGACTTCGAATCACATGGAGTACCTTTGAAACTAATTCACAGTCCATCAGGCAGGGACCATTCCCCGTCCGCTTTGCCATGCATACCGTGGTGCCTGCACCCAGAGCTCAGGGATGCAACAGATGGTGAAAGGCCAGCAGGTGAGAAGCATAGTGGGGCCAGGGCAGGTGGGCACCAGGTGGGAGTGCTGCTGCTCAGGGTGTGTGTCAGCCGTGCCCAACACTCTAATTCAGGATTCCTGAAATAGCAGAGCAGGCCTGCTTGGAAGCACGCTGCTTCTCCCAGCGCCTCCTACGGCCGCCATCAGCCTCCTACCCCCACCAGCCTCCTGAAGCTAGAGAGAGAGCTCTAGTGTCATTAACAGTGCTAATTGCATTCTCTCATCTTCTTTCTTTTTTTTTTTTTTTCTGTTTTTCTTTTTTTGCCTTCAGCAGATTTCAGAGAAGTAGAAACTTTTTATAGAACTTCTACCATCCAATTGTACAACACGTAACCAGCACTGCAAAAGTTAGCCTAAGTTGCTTTTGATGTACCTTTAGACATCAAAACTGAAAGATTTTACTTGAACAACAGAGAGCACTGGAACCAACTCCTCTCCCTTTTAAACCACAACTTTTTCTCAGTACACAGTCCACCATTTATTTCTAAAGGTTTTCAGTATAACTATATCAGATTATTAATTTTCCTACATTCTCTAACCCATTAAATCTCAACTTTCATTGTGATTTTCAAAGATACTTCAAGTCTTTTTCAACAGTTCTGAGATACTTGCTTGGCAGAAATGCATTTCCAAACTATTTGTTTTCTCATGAAAACTGAGTTTTGCCTGGATGCCAGGGTCAGCAGACATTTTATAAATAGGCTTGGACAGATGACAGGAAATGATGTAAGGTATCAGTCCACTCCACAGAAGGCAACTGCCTGTAGTGCCCAGAAAAGAGGGACTTGCACCATTGACTACTACACAGGAAAACAACTGCAGAGAAGCATCACTTACTGCAGAGGGTTTCCGGTTTGTGAAACACAAGATCTCTAGCATCCATATTACAGCTCAAGCAAAAAAAAAAAAAAAAAGTATTTGCTTGCAACTACAGAACAGTGAAAAGCAGCATAATTAAACTTTCCTTTGAAGGGGAAAAATTGAGCAGAATTGTCTAAACTCGCTTTGTCTTTTACTAATAAGGAGGAGCTTTCTGTTCCTGACATGCTCTAAATGCCAGCAGGCATTGGAGATTCTCCAGCCTGTGACTGGTGCCAAACACCAGGATCATCTTCTTACCCTGGCGTTTACCATCAGCTTCAGCAAAGTCTCTTCCAATTCAAACTGCTTTAAATGGGCTCCAATAATAGCTGCTTAGAAGTTAATCTTTATCTATCATTTGATCCTAATAACTATCTGTTCCTCTTTGCAATATTAGTGCAGATTGGTGAAGCAATTCACTGTCTCATTTTGTTTCTGTCAGCCTCCACGAAGGTAAAACTCAACCACTTTCCCCCAAATAAATGCTTTAGTTGCAATAGGGGCAAAGTCCACGGTAGAATTCTCAACGGGCTGAACTTTGGCACGTTAACTGCAGCCTTCCCCCAGTGCTCCCTACCAAGGTGCAGCTCTTCCTAACACCAGCCAGCCCTGCTCCCCCCATTCCTCACCACGCTTTCACACCGCTGCTGACTGACAGTGTTCTACATACCGCGGGCTACAAGTGTTAGTGAGACACAGTGACCTACCCAGCAGATGTGCCTGCTGAGTCTCTCAATGCTCAGAGCAGCAGGGCTGCAGCATGCAGAAGAGCTGTCTTTGGAGGGGCACCAAGGGTTCACACACAGCTCCTCTGCCCGGAGGCATCCCCACAACCACCCACAGTGTCATCTCATGCAGAGTCAGCCCCAGGCACGCTAGCATGAGGCCTCTGCTGGTGTTCCTCTTTAACAAAGAGTTAACATTTGATCCTTCTGGTGGCCCTGCTTTCAGAAATGGAGAGTTTCTGCTCATTGCTTGTTACTTATCTGTTCCCATGACAGACAAAACAGCCGAGAAGCGCTTCCTACCTATGACAGGAATACATAATACACAACACATTTCTTAAGCATCTGTACTGAGCAACTGACTTTACCAATGCTCTGAATTCATAAAACTCTAAAGAAGAACTTGATTTTTTTTTTTTGCACTGAAAGCATTGCATCTGACTGATTTTTTTTGTTATTTTGGAGATATTACATCCATCAGGCAGTATTAAATCGGAACCGTCCCAAACCTTCTCTGTTAAATGCTGTACAAACAGAAACAGAATCCATCTGCCTATGTATAAATTCCAGGAATTAAAGCAAATCCACTCGTTAGTGGTGTTCACACATGGTGTGTGTGCACAAGAGAAAAAGAGTCTGAGAGGATACAGGAGAAGGTGGGCAAGGCTGTCAGCCTCTGTAGAGCTCAGTGAGAGTGCCAGGGCATGAGATCCAACTGTCCTTGATGATCACCAGCATAAAAAAAGCCCTAGAAATGTAAACCCGGACCTCATTCTTTTCTGCACTTGGAAAGAAAACCTATGTATGCTGTTCGCTTCTTGACCTACAAGAAAAGGGATCTACATGCCTATTCATTGATAGCCTGCTCCACAAAGACATGCTCTTCTTGTACAGAGCTAATGCAGACTACTCCACAGAAATATCTCCACAGGAGAAGTCACTGAGAAGCAGTCCAATCACATCACATCACATACAATCATGTTTGGTACAAAGCTGTTAGAACCAAAACTTATGAGACACCACATGCACCTAAAGCTGTATTTTGTGGCAGAGGGAAAGATATTCTACCCTCATTCCTTCTGTTTAATGAAACATTGGAGAAGCATTTAAGCCTCAGCTAAAATCAATTACTGATAAGACTATTATAATAAACAGAAATGTTGCTAAACCTTATCTCAAATTCCTTTTTATTGTTTAATCTGGACACTCCCAAAACAAAGGCATCTGAGATCAATCGAAGAAGGAGTTTCAACCTTTGGATCAGCTCTAATTGCAATACTTCATTCTCGTGATTGCAATTCAACAGACCTTGATGTCATCACAGAAATTACATGGCTGCTCTTGCTGTCATCCAGGGCAATGTAACTGAGCGCATACAGACACTATGTCTAGTGTTCCTGGCAGCTTGCAGTGACACAAGCCAGGTGAAAGCCCAGTCTCTGTTCCCTTGCACCCATTATCACAGAAGACAGGTGCACAAGTCCATTCATTCCTGTTCAGTTGCAGGAGAATATTTGTGACAAGGCCAGGCTACTCGATGTGAGGTTACACTTGGTACCCAAAGCGATGAAGTATTAGGCTTCAGCCACTGAGCAGTGGGAAGACTCTTCCTGGTAGTCCATCTTGAAAGAGCAGTCCAGAGGGACAGACTGCAGCCTACAAACCTCTCATCTTTTCCTCGTTATTAAATTCTCCAAAACAGATAGCCTCTCTAAGCTACAAATTGTCTCAGAAAAGATGCCGAGCATGGGTGCAAGTCTCACCCCTTGCCATGAGAGTCCAAGCATCCTGACAGGTCTGGACAAAGAGTCTCCCTTGGGCTGCTCCAGCATCCTTCTTCAAGGGCAAAACTCCAAGGAAGACTTGACCCTCAGGTTGGCCTGTTACACACACACTGTCTTCAAAATGCAGTGCAATATTCGCTAAAATGAAATTGCTGTTTTCTGTCCCAGCCCAGCAAAGGTTTCAGAATGTCAGCAATTTATTTTTTCCTGTCAGACTACCCAGGCTGATATTTCCACGGTTGCATGGGCTGTCTAAATACTTGAAAAAAATGAGATTATTATGGTCTGTGATAATACTCCTGTTTAAATAATTAAGGCAATTCATTTACTTGTAGAAAAAAATGATTCAAGGACTATACATACAATTTGAGTTCAAAGTACTACCCTCAACCCAGTCTTATCATCCTTGGTCCAATGATACTTGTTAGTAAACAAGACGGACGTAATCACGGCTAGGAGTAATAGTGAATCAGTGGCAAGACTCGAACAGGCCATTGTCAAGTTGGAAAACTTCAACCAAGAACATGAAGTAACTGCTGAAATCAAATGAAAAAGCAGAGCAGTAATTGAAACTTTTGAACCTTTCTACACAGAGGAGCAAGAAAATTTATCTTCCTGATTGCGCTAATGTTTCAGATAGCAAGAGAACATGGGAATATGGCCTTAATGTCAGCTAGTAAAATTCTGTGACCTTTCAAGGGAGCTATATCTGCCATGATGATCACGGTAATCAGAACAAGACCTATCTGCTCTGACATACGTTGGCTGCATGAGCAGATATCTCTTTTTCTCTCCACAAGTGCTGAGTGCTTTGCTTCATTCATTGTACAAGACAGATAGTGTTCACCTGATTAGCAGTAATTGGATACCAGGAAAAATAAAATCCATGTACTGCCCTGTGTCTTATTCACCATGCCGTGCCCTGGTCTGAGGACAGAATCACAGGGGAATTTTTTACTTTACAGGGCTTAAGGGTTCTGCAAATATCCATTAATTTTATTTCTACAATCTGCAAAGTTACCAGGATATCACCATTTCCACTTTCCAGAACTGAGTCACAAAGATCAAGGTCACAATAACTGTTAGTAGCAGCCAATTTGAAATTCCTAAAACTTTCAAAGCAATTGGTACTTTATTCTACCATTCAGGTCTTCAAAGTTATTAGTACTTCTTTCACCAACTGCAGATCCACAAAGTCCTGAATTTTGAACATTTGCAGATAATTCTAGATATTTCACATAATTTCTGGATAATTCAGATAATTCTAGGCTTTGTCCAGGTTGGACTTCCCCCAGCACCAGAACATCCCCATCCCCATGTAGCTCTGTTTGCACATCTCCCACACCAGCCTCTCCGCCCCCTTTCAGCTGCTCCACTGATTTCTCCAGCTCTCCTCTCATTTCCCATTCAATTCTCAGTTGCTATTTGCTTTTCTCCTTTCAAATTCAAGTACGATTTTTTTTTTAACATTTTTTACAGTTTTCTCCCCTGCCTATTCCTTTAAAAATCCCAACTCATTCATTCCTCATTTCTTCTGCATTTGAGCTGCTTCCAGCTTCTTACCTGCAGGAGCCTTTGAAAGCAGTACATGGGAGAAATGGTCCACTTACATCACATTAAGGTGCCCCAACCCAACAAAACCTGCGGCAGCCCACAGATACAGTCACAGGAGAATTCCTGTTCAGAAGTTTTCTCAGCTGGAACACACCCAGCACTGACAGACTGCTTGGGGAATTTGTCTGCTACCACATCTATCCAGCCTACAAAACATGAGGTCTCCAGTTCATATACATTAAGAGATTTTTCCACGAGGATAAAACACAGCTTTGATTCCTGATTTCAAGAATGTCCTCCTGTTCTGGAACAGGCAAAGGACTTCTAAAGGCTCTCCTTGTTCACCTGTTTTAAAAGTAGGGCAAAATCAACGCTTTCCTCCAGCCCAGTTCTTGTAAAATGACAAAGCAGTTGAGCTAAATTTTCCAGCGAAGTTCAGATTTGGAAGTGTACCTGGCACAAAACCTTTCTATCCAAAGACTTAATTAGCAGTCAGTCAAGTTGCATCTGTCCAAAAAGAGGCAAGATCTCCCCAGACCGTGACGGTGCAGGAGCTCTGTGGCCTCACCAGAGCCACACTGTGCTTTGCCATGCCTTTGCCCTAATGCTGCTCCCCATCACTTCTTGTGGGCAAAGGAACAGGCGCAGAGCCGGTCTTCCGTACCCAGACCCCTATCAGGCTGCACTGCGCTTCTAGGCAACCTTTTCCTGACATGCCCTGGGAGCTTGAAAGCATGCTGAGAAAGTGGTGCCACGAGGGCCTTCTCACATGAGAACATACTAGAGCTGAAAAAGAGAGGATCCATGTTTGTGAGACCAAGGGGGCACTGGCGGTGCGCAGGTATGGGAGCACAGGGAGGCTGGGGGTGTGGAGGGCTCTATTTGAGGCACTCCGTGATTCCCTGTTCCATGAAAATATTCCACGATCCTATGAACTGATCTCCATTGTCAGCTTCAATAAGCTCAGTTTTTGGCTGGTTGGAGGGACTGTGCTCAGGGGATGGGAAGAGACAGCAGCAAGGCAGCGTTAGTTTGGCTTCTAGGTGGTGACAGCAGCTGTAACTTGTTATTATCTCCACATGACAAGCGCTCCGAGACACCCCCACACCAATCTTATTATGAAAAGCTAGATTTCACTAAGCTGTTTTCTAACATGTCATACCCAGGTTTTGTGGCTTCCCCTGACAGTTTCACCAAGACGGGTCACAGCAAGGAGCACAAGCTGGGCCTGGCCTGGCCAACAGGCCCTTCCCACTGCCCCGCTCTCTGACCTTCACAGATGCTGTTCCACCTGTCTGTCATTCAGCAGCAGGTCTGTTCCTGGGGTCTTTACAGAGTGAGGGACACGAGCAGCAGATCCCAAAATGAGATCTGTCCCTCCTGCTGCCCCTGCTCACGTGAGCTACCCTCTGCCACCCTGCAGGGACTCGCTCGGTGCTGCCACCATCACCCAAGGAAGGCACACAAGCTGCCGGTGACCCTTCAGCAGAATGCTCACAGTTAGGGCAAGCAGAGCCTAGAAAGTACATCCCCGAATTCACCTTCTGCTCTTTAAAACCAGTGTTTATTTGTGCTGCAGGTGATGGCAGCCCCAGTCTACCCTCACTCACTCATGTTTTCCCACGTGCCAAGATGAAGCTTCGACACTCCTCTCCTTCTGCAGGAACGGTGCTGTGCTTACATAAAGCTTCAGACAACGCCAAATTGAATGTCTGACCGAGGACAATCTTCTGTTAAATATATATTTTTTGTCTTTTCCAGAGATCTATCTTCTGTGCGTTCCTGACCTCCAGAAAGTATTTCCATCTCACACATTAAGTATAGCAATCCTCTTAACAAGGGAACATTTTGTTAGAGCTTTAAATTGGGTTACGTAAATTATTTGTAGTTCTGACAGCAGGTTTCTCTTCCGTCCACAAGGACGGATGGCTGTTAGGAGATTGCTACAAGGTTCATTTGCAATCACAGCAAATAATCATCTGAGGGCACTGTTTGGAATGGGATGTTACCTAGGGATACACGGTAAGTTTAATAAGGCATAAAAGCTTTTATAAAAGCAGCATATTTGATAAATAATTTGTAGTACAGTAACCTTCACACAAATAAAAAAAATTACAACAACTGATGTGAATGGTAAGTTAAAGAAAAAAAATACTTCTGACTCCCATAAACTTCAGGAGGAAGAGAACGCAGATGGGAAAAAATATCATTTTATCTATATAAACAGAGAGAGCATGCACAGCTGCCTGCCAGCGAGTGCTGCCTGGCACCAAGCACATCCCAGCCCCTGAGCTTACCTTTGCTTACAATGGGAATTGAAAGCAGTCAGGAATGGGCGCTTTGCATCCAGTTAAGCACTTGCTCAGAAAAAAAAGAGCACAGAGCAGAAAAGTTGTTCAAGAAGTACTAGCACTACTTTTAGCACTGCATTCGAAGGCTCTGTGATTGAAGAAAGATATTTTTCAGTGCTCTGTTCCTACTCTTCCTTCTCAGCACCTCTCTCGTCAGAAAATTTGGAATGGGAAAAAGTCACAGGCAGTGCAGTGTCCCTCCTTCCTTCCTGCAGCCACTGTTCAGGCTGACTGGAGCACTGAGTTTCTAACAGTTTCTTCAGGAGTAGGGAAAGAAGAGCACGATTTATAAATCAGGTCACACTCTTTTTTTTTTTTTTTTTTAAGGTTCCCCATTCAATTTGTGAGCAGCTTTAAAAATAAAAACGACAAACAAATTAAGCAGTATTTTATTCAAACTGAAAGCGTTTTGTTTCACTCTAGAACATGGATCACTTAAGGGAAAAATTTAAAGTGAGGATTTTCAGATCAGAATGCAGACATTTCATTTTAAAATCTCTGTAAGAGTATCTCAGATTTTTCTCCTTAAGTTACAAGAGCAGTGAGTTAAAATTCTAGGAAGTTTGGGCAAGTTTTCACACAGTTTTAAGCATTAGCAATTGGGAAGATCCAGAAAAGCCTCTTTCTACACAGCCCTGTTGGCACTAAGCCCTCCCCAGCAGCAGTCCAGGCACCAACAAAACCAGCCACCCTTTCCACAACGTGAAGGCACTACAAGAAGTGAGACCTCAGATGAGAAAGAGCGCGCGGTTTGTTGAACCACTCACACACACAAACACAAGAAACATTCTAAAGGTGTTGAGCAGAGGAGGACCTTTACTCACAGGACTGAACATTTTCCGACCTCCCTGTGAATACTTCACCTTGGTGTTTCCAATCCTACTGAGATAACTCATAGTGCTGTATTTCTTTCCTATCCCCTCCCCTTCTTTGATGCTGAGTACTTATTTTCAGCAGTCTTTACAGATCGTCACCTTATTAATTAGCAGTCTGTCTTATAACACTTCACCTACAGAGAATGCAATGAGTTAATACTTCTTGGTACAACATTAGTTATTCCTCTGAATTATCTGGAGGCATTAGCTGACTAAAGTACAATGCTTTCATTTGCATAAAAGACCACCTATTGCTATTTTGGTTATTCTCAAGAGAGAGGCTTTTAAATGCTAGGTAGAAAGTTCGATCTTAATCCTTTATACTTTTCTCTCTAAACACACAGATCTCGTAGGAGAATACACAGACATTTAACTTACCATTATTGAAGCTATCTTTTGACTTCCTCAGCATCATTAATAATTAAGCAGAAAGAACAGAGCGAAACAATTATCCTAATGACACCACACCAGAACTAACAAAATGATTTTTAAAAAGTCAGACAGAACAAGTGAGAAGGTCGACCAGAAAACGCTAGTCAGGAATAGCCGTGATCTGATGAGGAGGAGGAGGTTATGTTTCTGTGATACGAGCACCGCACAGCTGTTACTCTAGTAATAATTCATCATATTAATATTTAAATGAGAGGAGGAGGAGGGCAGGAGATTGTGTGTGACTCAACGGTCCCTCCCTATCCTTAAGCAGAAAAATAGGCCACCAATACGGACAGAGCATTGGGAGCTACAGAGTGGGAAGGTTTGTTTTTATTTCCTCTTGAATAAAAGTGGGCAAACTGGTGCCCAAATAGTCTCCAAACTAAATTCTGTTAACGCTTCCAGAAGAAGCCATTGCCTAAAGACCAAATTGATCAGGGAATTGCTGCTCTAGGTCTGCATGTTGTTTCTAGGATTTCAGTATATTTCCAGAGAGCTTCACTTTCTGCGAAGAGTTGCCCGTAGGAGCCTTGTCTGACTCAGGGAACTGCAGAACCTCTGCTGTGCTTTACCGTTTTTCTGCAGACACAGCGATAAAAACCCTCTTTTCAATCAGCACTCACCTCAGGCTTCTGCCACCGTCTCAGCCCAGCAGGGTCTCTCGCACAAACAGGCTCAGGAAACCGCTGGCACCCGGGGCAGAGCAGGAGTGCCTGCCTGCAGGAGAGGGTGCCGAGAGCTGCAGCGAGCTACACCCAGCAACAGCACGGGGCTGCAGGAAACAGCTGATGCAGGCACAACCCAGACAGATGTGGGTGGCATCCCTGGCAGGAGAGGCACCTGGCCACGCTTGGTTGCATATAGGGTTGCACAACCTCAGTATAAACACCACCTCTCACATGCTAGCCTTTGAGGTGTTGGGTTTCTTTTTAAATTCGGTGTAACTCCTCCTTGTCAGCAGAAAATGTGTTACTATGACACCCCTGGCTGAGCATTGCATTGTTGGCGATACAAATGTATAAAGGCAAGAAGCAACCATTTAACCAGGAATACAGACGCAAACTCCAGAAATTAGCATGGTGCTAAATAACAAACAGAACAAATCCACAGAGAGAGACTCGGCAAAATGCTCACTAAGAAAATAGAAAATATGCAAAGTAAAATCATTAAGAGATGCCAAGCTGATGCAGTAACGTCAGTGCGCAGCATTCTAAGTTCTTCATCTGAAATTTTCTATTTTCTCCTATTCAAGCAGAGACATTTCTCCCTTTCATTTCATTAGTGTAATACTGCAATATAATTTTGCAAACCACCTGAGTTAGTGCTGACATTAATTTTAACTGATCAATACAGAGATTTTATTTGCTTCATCCTGCACAACAGGATTTGTGTTAACACATTGCAGGAAACACAATTCTGCAGAGCTTCTCCATATCCATTGTTAGTGTCCTCATCGAGTGGCCATATAAAACTGGTCTTCAGAAACTGCCGTAGAGATCTGTGCCTAAAGGAAGATCAACACCCTGGTCATGTTGGAGGAACAGAGGGTACCTCCTGTACTGCTGACAGGAGTAGACAATGGAGGTCTCCAAGAGGACAACCTCCACTCTGTTAGTAATCACACTAAGGCTGGAGAAGCTGGGCTCCTCTTGCCCAACCTAGCCTTAATTACTGATAGAGTGCTCTTTTCAGCTCCACCAACATTGCTGCCTCGTGGATAGGAGCTCCAAGCAGTGTGGATACTGATACGCAAGGCTAGAACTGGCCATCTACCCCAATAGTGCTCTCAGTTGTGACCCACATGTTCTCAACCACATCGAAAGGCAGAAACCATCCTCTAGTTCCTTGAGTTTCTGTGTCACCCTCTGGTGACAGCTCCAGCCCTAACAAGCATCATCTTGCATCCATGAGGTTGAAGACCATTTGCACTCCCACTGATGTATTCTCACTAATATCTCAGCAACTGGAGGGCTCAGCCTTCAGCCAGCTTGGACGTTGCGTCACTGGTCACAAGAGTGGGGGGATATGCTAGAAGAAGCAAAAGCATGATCAAACCTCTCTTTCTCTGTGATGAGGTTGGATCTAGTCCTCTGGGGTTAAACAAGAATGTAGAATATTTTCTGCTTTCTGTTAGTAGTACCAAACATATTATAAGAGAAGTCAAATTTGCTTCTCGTTATTCAGCCTCCTTACTACTACCACATACTATTTCTGAACCAAAATCTTCCTTGTGCAAGCTGTTGCCCAGATTTCAAAGCATTCACATACAATTGTTAAAGTAATCTACAGATCAGCCTCCAGTTTTTCCAATGATACTCAGCTGGCTGAAAAGGTTAGCAAGGCAGAGAGAAAGGCTCACTGCTATTCCCCTATTCCCTCCCACCTCTGCATTTTAAAAACCAAGTGCACAAAACATAGTAACACATATTAACATATTAACAAGGAAAAAAGACTGATGTATGATTTTAAATCAGAAGAAAAATTGCAGACAAAGGTTAAACAGACTTTGCAACTGCTGAATTGCTAATTGAAGGTGAAAGTGTGATAGAAGATAACCACCTTCAGGTACAGATTGGGTCAGCTGACAGATTTAATAGCTTCCATAGAATACTGCATTGCAACATTATACTGTCTGTAAGGGCAACCACCAGCTTCCAGCTGGCTTAGGTGGCAACTGGATTTGCATACAAAGTTTGAGGAAACCCAGAAGTCCGTGCTCAGATTTGCTCTACTTTGAGCCATCAGAGAAGTTGCTAGTTTAATATGTATTCAGAAAGGCTCCAGCCTCTGTTGACAAGTCCCCTTGCGGACGAAGCTTTTTCAAGCTTTGTCCAAGGTATACTCAAATCCCACTCCATTCCTGCCCATGCTCTTAGTTAAATAGAAAGGAAACAAATGAATTCACCCAATTATTTTGTTTCTAAAATATATATTGATAAGGAAAATCCTGCCCTAGGAGAATACCACTAATTTCACAAATGCTGCTGGGTTTACTCTTGCACTGAAACTTCTCTCCTGGGGGTTTGGAGTAGCCTCCATTCACCTTGGAGAAGATACGCTAACTAAAGAAAGAAAATCAAGCACTGGTCAGTGGCAATTAGCTCCACTGCTGCATTTCGTTTCAAAAGAAGTATCTAACTCCTGAATCAAGAGACATCATATCACTCATTCATTCCTCTCACAGCCAGACATCAAGTCTCTGCCACAGTTGCTGAGCAAATGACAAAAATAAAAGAGTCCACTGCAAGGCTGGCCACACTTGTCCTAAGAACAGAGAGATCAGTGTGAAGAGCCCTGCTGGCACCAGACCACCTAGCCCTCACCACACGCAAATTCTTCATTCATTAGCAGCACTAGGATTTAAAGTCAGAACCATCAGATGAAGTCTTTTGGGCCCAGCCACTGACAGAGTTGAACACACTATGCTTTGGGTTTCATACCCAAACATTTCTCAAATTAGATGGGCTCCATGGCTTGGTCTTTGGATGAAACCAGACAGCTGTGCTTCCTGAAGGCCACACAAGTGGACGTACACAAAGCTGGCTCTGCTACTGCCATGGAGGTCACAGTGGGAAACCATTTGTTAGGGAATTAACAAATGATCTCAGCAGTGCTGTGCGTAGCATAGATTTTGAGTAACAGCAGCAAGGCTTACATAGTTGTTTACCAGTCAAAAAAGAGGGGTGGTTTTTTTATAGTCTAAACTTTATGAAATGATAAAAATCTATGAATCATCTAACATGCTGTTTATCTGCAGACAAATAGGATTAAAAATAGAGCAGGTAGTTTCGTCTTTTTTTTTTTTTTCTTTTTTTTCTTTTTTTTTTCTTTTTTGGCAGAGAAGCAAGAAGAAGGATGACATATGAGGAAAAAGAAGGCTGCTGAGGATGCTGAGCACAAAGCTGTGGCTGGGAACTGCCATGAGAGCTGCCTCAATAATTGTATCCTGCTGATGAAAGGCTAGACCTTAGGCACTCTCAGATGGCTCTTTTCTGTAATGAGGATCTCAGTATTTGGCCTTTTTGTATTCACCATTTCTTTGCAATCAGTCCATATAGGCACAAGCATTAAAAATGCCAATACTTGGCATTTTTACCACTGGAATCAATGCAAAGAGTTCTGACTTTTAAGTGTTTGGCTCTGCCGTGGAGTTTTTTAATCTTTTATTTCCTAAATGTAACTGATCAACAGGAACATGCATCCCTGGGTCAGTTTTCAGTTCATGATCCAAATAGTTCTTCTTAACCTGGAAGAAACCCCAACAGAATCCCAAGGAATTTTCCTCAGGAAGGTCTGGAAATCCTCCTTGTCAGTACATAACTTCTACCAAGTGAAACATTAACAGAGCTACTCCACTCAGCTGACCGTATCGTGAAACAATAACTTCCTTCCTTGCCCAGGGTAGCACAGACTCTGTTTTGCTGCTTCCTGACCCATGAGCGACCTTGCTACGGACCAGCTCATTTTCAGCACAACTCCTCGAGGTTCGATATTGAGTTACACTGCACCTACTCTTAAAGAAGCAGATAGGAAAAGGCAGCTTTCATTTCTTCCTTTTCTCTGCCAGCCTTATTTGCAGAGAAAGGGGACAGACAATAACACTCCTCATCTAAGGATGCTTATTCTCTCAGGTCTTCTACCATCATTTTCACTCTGGAAGCATAAATCACATATGTCTTCTGTTGCCAAAGGCAGGGAAAGAATCAGAAATAGGGGAGTCTAGTTTAAAGTCTGATTTATTTATTTGTTTATTGTGGGAATCAGTGAGTGATATGGACGGCACATACCCTAATGCCACTCTGCACTTGGCTGTGCTAATGGCTATAGCTGGTACAAATACATGCCTATTGCTGCTGGCCAGGACCTGTGACACTGGAGACACCAGGCCTGTCATTCCACAGAGCTGTAGGACCCCGTGCTAAGTTTCTGAGGGAGTCAGAGGATGAGATGCTCTGGGAGACTGTTCCTCACTCCAGAAGCCAGACAGTTTGCTCAGAAGGTCATACGGTTTGCCACAGCAGCAGAAGTGGCCTGTCTGGTATCCTAATCAACACCTATGCCTCTGGCTCTTCCCTATACACTCCTTCCAGCCTCACCCCTCTATGAACAGTTTCTCTACACCCACAGTTCTCCACGCCTACGATTCTCTCTCC